GAGTCTAAGTTTATGATATATGGATTAGATGGTCGTGAATATTGTTGGAAATGCAAAACTGAATCATTAGATAATCATGTAAAATTTACAGTCAAATTTTGTGGTGGAATTATTATGATCTGAAGTTGCTTTTCTTCAGCGTTAATAACATCGCACCATGAATTAAAAATTATACTGCGAGATTTTGAATGATGACTTGTTAGAAACTATCGAGTTAATAAGAATAATATCACTTTCCAACAGGATAATGATATGAACCATATGGCTAATTTAATGGAACAATGATTTTATGATAACAATATTGATGTATTAGAATGGCCACCACAATCTCCTGACCTCAACCCTATAGAACATCTCTGGAATGAAATGGATACATGTTTGTGAAGATTAGAAAATCCAGTTCGTACTCAAGCTGAGTTATGAGAAAATAACGGATCATGACTTTTTAACTAGTCTAATTGAAAGTATGCCCAAATGAATAAATGATATAATTGAGGCTAAAGAGGGTATACAGAGTGGTAAAGAATAGATTATTTAAATTTCGTAAATTTTTATTCGTTAGTTATTTAAATTTCAGTTTTAAATTATTTACATTGTAAACAGTCAAAAAAAATGCATCATGTAAAATTGCATCGATCATTATTACATATTTATTAATCAAATAAAGAATTATATTTACATGTTTTGCAAAATTTGGTAAATAATATATGTCAGAATTGGTGAGTTTCAGGTAATGTTATTGAATTTCTAATTTTATTTTGTGTGATACAAAACATTTGACGGCAACTGTATAAAGGTTCTCAAAAACATTAATAAAAGACAGAATTAATTGTGCACAATAATTCTCCAAGTAAAGTAACACTTGTAAAATAGAAATAATTGTGTACAATTCTTCCACCAACTAGTGTAGTTTTGAAAAGACACTGAATTTAATTTAATTGATTTGATTGACGGTTAGGTCCTTTAGTCCAAAAAAAGGCATTAAATAGTGATACTATAAACGGAGCAATTTTTTGATTGTATAGCTTAAGGCTTTTAGCTAGAAAAAGCAAACGATTTGAGTTTAGTTTAATAGATATTGTTAATAGACATTGTTGATAGGAATATCACCGCCACTTAAGAATAAAGAAACTCAAATTCCCTTACCTAGACATTAAGCAGCCCACTCTCACAAATCAGTCTCTACATTCTCTCCGCCCTCTTGTTGTAGGTACAGAATCTATTTTTGAAAAAGGTTCATACTTTAGAAATGGTTCATTTTTACTCGTTCATCAACTCTAATGTAATTTGCTTTGAATTGTGTAATACTTTGTGTTCATCCTTACCGTTAAATATTTTCTCCATGATCCCCACCGTCGTAGTTGTGCAACTATGCCTGTATTTGACTTCATAATTTTCGTGCGTTCTTTTATTAGACTATTGATATCTTTATTTGTGCTAGAAGTCTAAATCTATGCTAGGATAGATTCAGTCCTTCGGGGTTTAAATCTCGGTAAATTTTGGGCCAATTTTATGAAAATTGGTAAATACGTAGGTAGATTTCATAGAGTAGAACATTTTTAATTAGTGATTCAAATTAGGATCTGTCTTGGAGAAAAAGTTGTTCAATGTGAGAACTTTACTAATTGTACATTTTGATTTAAATCATTCTATTTCACAAAATAATTTGTTATCGAATTATTGTTAAAAATATTAGAGGTTTCAAGATTTCAAATGAACACCTTTTTACATGTATTTTGTTTGAACTAATCATGGCAATCAAGTTAGTTTTTGTGTTTCGTTACATGTGTGAGTCACTGTAATAGATATTCTCAACAATCTGAATAAAGCTCTGTTCGGATCGGTTTCGAAAATCGTAAAATAGTTTTTAGTTGATAACTTTTATTTTTACTAGACACTTGATTTGGTGTCTAAGTAGAGTTGTTTGGAATGTAATTGTGTATATACCCACAAATTTTCGCTTAATATTGAACGAGAAATAACGATTTTTAGGCTGACCCGAAATGTGCGTTCCGACCCGGTTGGAGCACTAAATCTGAATACGTACTGGTACATGTAAATTCACGCAGGGAAACTTGTGTATTGTGGCTAAGACATGTTCATGTCGATGTACTGGTACATGTATTAACATTAACTGCGTGTAGATGTACATGTACATGTATTTAAGAACATGTATTATTTCAAATCACATGTACTTTACACGCAAAATAAATTCACAGGCTATTGTTATTACACTTTAATACTATAAATTTTTAAATATGTTTCAAAGTACTTTGCACAAAGTAATGAAAGTTTCATTAGTTCAGAAAACTGTATTAGCTAAGGTCTATGGATGTATGAATATATGTAAAAATATCGAATTCATATTAGTAAAATAATGGTAATTTTGATACAAAAATAATATGATTCATATTATGTATTTGCTAATTAATCATGTAGATTAGTAGCTCGGAGAGTGAAATTAACAAATGTCATCTCTTGATAGTTATTCAATTATCGCAATAAATTAATGAGACTAGTCAATTTTGTCATTAAATAAAAAACAGACTTGAAATGATGTGAATTATCGAACCATTTTGTATTATACATGTAAATTTTCATTTGGTAAGGTGTATATACGTATTCAATAATTTAGCATACGTATCCCGAGAATCGACTAACAACACCTGACGAGGCGCAGTCAGCTATCGTTAAATTACCATTAATAGTTTAGCTAAATGCATTGGTGTTACATGAACTTGTGCAACATAGACTACATGTACGTAATACGTGTAGATAGTTGTACATGTACATTCCCCAAATTCTCTCATACAGAGAATGGCATCAACACTCGCATCCTTATGTCTTCAAGCAATCTTTGAAAACTTTTCCACATCGAATGAAGAAGCAGAAGGAGAATATTCCTCGTTCAAAGACTACGAAAAGAAAGCCAGCAGCCAAATCCACAACAACAAAATTTACAATAATCGACGTCAATTACTCTATTTTGCACTTGTAAATCGTCATTGGTGCGATAATGCAATCCCGTATTTATGGAAACGACCATTCCCTTTATTATCGGGAATATCATTTATTTCAACACTTTTGAGATGTTTTGAAAATGACAATCATCCCAGGCCACTATTTCAGTATAATTTATTTATCAAAAAATTGTCGTTGGAATCTTTCATGGAGGCTATTGTTCGATGGTCGAAGTCAAGTCAACAACGAAAATCAGGAAAGGTTCCGATTCCCAATATATTGAAATCACTTTTTCATCATTTGATTAACAGTAAAACAAATTTTTACCTTGAACTTGAGTATGAGGACAATATAGTTTCATCTTTATATGAATACAAAAATTGGAGTATTTTTCAAATACCGAACGCCAAAGAATCATTACGACAATTGCGTTATCTAAAAATTTCTAGTGCTCAAGACATACGGCTGCTTGAATCAGCATCAAAAATTTGTCTTGATCTTTCAGTTCTCACCATAATCTCCGACAATTTACTTAATAGAGAACATTCACATCAATGCGAACTTTTCTCTTACTTTAACTCTTTTCAGAATTTAAAATTTCTTAGACTTGATTGCGGACAATACGCTTCACGCTTTTATTGCGACAATTTTATAATTGAACTTGCAAGAAAATTACCTAAAACATTGGACACTCTGATTATCGAAGGGGACTTGAAGATTTCAACACATGCTTTGAGGCAATTTTTACATCGATCTAGAGGGTCACGTTTCAAACTATTAGGATTCCCGCATTCTAAATCTATTTCTGATGCGCATTTAGATGTTATTTTGGAAGTGGTTAAATATTCGTACACGGATATCGGCATTCAAAGACTGAATGTTTCCAATGCGATCTTGTCACAAAATCAAGTGTGGAAATTTGCAAGTCAGGGAATTGAACTCATCTCTTAAGGTACTTTCGGAGATCCCTTTAGTTTCCATTCTCTGTTCATCATCATCAATATACGTATATCACTTTACTTTTCAGATACGTAATGCGATTGAAGATATTTGCAAAATACAGGTCATCAATTTCTTCGATAGAAAATGAGACAGCTGTGGACAATTTGAAATTATCAGTTAGGATACTGTATATATTGTTATTCAAGCATAGTAATCACCAAAATTAGCATCAGATAATAAAAACAATTTATCTCTCAATTATCAAATTTATTGGACGATGGAATATCACGTAGTATTGAACGTAATCAAAATATTTACTCTCTCACTTGCTAAGGCCTTGGAAACTACATGGTGGTGGCGTTTCTCATTTCTTCTTTGACAAACATAACGATCACAAATTCGACTGTAAATGATTGGGGAATTGAAAAAGTGGATTTTTAGGCTGCCAGTGAATACGAGAGATCCGTTTTCGGCTGTATTTTATTATTTAACAATCACTTTCAAATATCAATTTTCAATTACGTAATAGCTATTTTATCTAACTACCATCGAAATATTTTCTACGAAATACATTTTCAGTGACAACTTTTTCCGTAATTTGGAATCTCGTGAGCAAAACACCGGACATTTAAACTATTTCAAAGAGAGTGATTTGTCGCTCTTATAAACCAACCATCGTTCGAAACACACAAGAATCCAAACTTTGTTCAGGAAAAGTGTTCAGAGGAGACAATACCAACCACCATCGATAAATATTTCGTCAGTACGTCAGACATCTATTTCCTACTCGGTCCTAAGTCTTCGGTGATGACGTAATACATAATACTTGGTCTTATTTAAAATTAAAAAGTGCTGAAAAGACTGTCAGTTCAGTCCTTATTCGGACTTCTAGTCTTTTAGTCTTCTCATGATCTGACAAAGATGAACAGATTGCGTTTTTTGTCACTCGACGTTTTAAACATCTATGCATTATAAATAAAAATAATGTTCTCAAAATTAAAAAGAAACTTATAAATATATTCAATGTTCTAAAAAAAAGTTCGTCTCGAGAGACAGGATCAGAAAATTTGATCTATTGTAATAATGTAATCAAAACTTTAAAATATCGATATAAATGGATCATTCCAAAATTCGTCATTTGAAAATATGTCGACATATAATTCATCCCAATTGCCATTGTACCTAATCTGCTGCTCCCATTCTACTTCATCCCATAAGCTATCCACTTTTGTTTCGATTCCGTTAAGTTTCAAATATTCCACATTATTTCTGGTCAAAAATCTCGCCTCAGAAAGGTCAAGTTTCTGAACACGAATGTCCAATTGCGGATTTTTAACCGCTTCCAAGATGATTTCTAAATGTTCATCAGAGAAACATTCTGAATGCGGAAATCCTAACAGTTTGAAATGTATCTCTCTAGCACCGTGTAAGAACTTATCCAACGAATCCACGGAAAAGTTTAAATCTCCATCAATTGAAAGAGTTTCTAATGTTTTTGGTAACTTTTTACCGAGTTCCGTTAAGAATTCGTTTCCGTAAATCGTTGACGTGTATTGTCCGCAATCAAGTTTTAGTGATTTTAGATTTTTAAACATGCCAAAATACGAGAGTAATTGGCGATATTGTGAATATTCCTTGAAAATGCTGCTTAACCAGGTTGACGAGTAGGAATTTATTTCAAGCGAGGAAAGATTGGGACAGATTTTTGCAGCAGATTCTAAAAGTTGGATGTCTCCAGTAGTCGATATTTTTAAGTAACGTAATTGACCAAGTGAAGTTTTTGCGTTCGGCAGCTGAAAAATATTCCAATCACTATCAGGAAATTCGTATCTATGTAATAAACCGACTTTGTCGTACTCATAATCAAGCTCGAATAAAATAGTCGTTGAACTATTAATCAAATCATGGCAAAGTGTTTTCCATATATCGGGAATTGTTGGTATTTTCACAGAAATTGCATCATCACTATCTTTTCCCGAATTTCGTTGTTGATTCTCATGCCATTTTAATTTTGTCCATTGCACAAAAGCACCGAGTATCGATTCCAAAGAGAATTGTTTAATGAATAAATTATATCGAAATAGTGGTCTTGATTCATTATCCTCATAATCTTCATTACCACCAAGACATCGTAAAAGAGTAGCAACAAACGATCCACCCGATGATAAAGGAAACGGTCGTTTCCATAATATCGGAATCGCATTATAACACCAATGACGATTCACTAGAGCACAATAAAATAATTGACGTCTATTCCTGTAGATTTCGTCTTCGTAGTTGTAATGTTTGGAACTGTTGTAGAAAGTTGATTCATGTCCTGCTTCTAATGTGGAAAAGTTTTTGAATATTTCGTGTAGACATAAAGCAGCCAGAGTTGATGCCATTTTTCTAGGGTTGCAATAATCAAATTGTGGATTATTTGTATGATTGTTACAATGCAATAGGATATAAATAGAGCAACCTATTTGCGTAATCATTGCTGCACGGTTATATCAATGTACTCTGTAACATTTACATGTAAATGGATAGATTTACGGTTTTCATGTGTATCAGTATGGCCGAAATATTCGCCAAAATCCAGTCAGTTCATTTTACACGCACAGTACATATCGATATCGTATTATAGACTTAATACGGTATATTCTTTGTTCAAAGATAAGCCATTTTTCTATATACGGGAATTCTATATCGATACATGATCAATGAGAAAATTTATTCTTTAATCGATAACGTTAACGTTAACGTTAATGCAAACGTTTAATTAAAAAAGATTAATAATAACAATGTCACCTTCTATTCCTCTATTTAGAGGTTTCCAACGTGAACACTTACCCGGATTTTTCGAAAGACTAGAGAGGTCATTCATTATAGATGTAAAATCAACGTCGACAATAACAACGAGCGAGGAAAAATTAAAAATTCTCGAACATCAAATTGCGTCCGAAGCTAAGCGTTGGTATACAAAAGTCGATTGGAACCAGTGGCATAATGATAATACAATCGCCACGTATGAAGATCGTAAAAATTGGATGTTGGAAAATTTTCCTTTTCATTCAACCAAAGATCAATGCGGATATAAAAAATTCTTGAAGCAAGGTCCGCTGGAATCACCAAAAAATTTCCTTTCTCGAATCAAAAAATTCGTGATAAAAGAGCAAGAAGCGAGCCACAAGGGCATAGATACCAAAGATTCGATAACAGAAGAAGATATTGAAGAAATGTTTATTGATGGTCTTTTACCGCCACTCCAAATCTATATTTCACAATTAACCACTGCTACTTTAACATTTGGAGAACACGTTAATCGAGTTGCTCGTCGATTTTCAAAAGGATTCGATAATGTCCACAACTACAATCAATCCAAGCCGACAACTCATCGTCGAATAATAAATTGGAAAGGGATTGAAGAATCTCAACATGGAGATAACGACCATGAAGAATATAAAAACCTCTCAAAATTTCCTGCTTTGGGTGCGGTTCATTGTATTAAGCAAGGAACCGATGAAAGTCCTTGGGATTATTATATTCGTCTAGGCGATGCTTGTGAACACGATGGCTTGGATGTGGATCAATATCGAGTTCTTTTGTACTTTCGTGGGCTACAGCAAAAGATTCAAGATCACCCAAAAGTTTGGAACGCGAAAAATATCGAAGAACAAATTTACGCGACTCAAATATATTGGACGAGTGAGTACTGGGATAACCGACATTACGAGGCACATTTGGAATTCACAGAAAATGGAAACGAATATCGACAAGTAGACGACAATAAGTATGATTTTTCGAAAGAACGAATTAGTATCTTGCCTGTGAGTTTCGGTGAGGTGGATCCATTCTATTTCGATTTTATGCAACCTAGTATTGATGTTGATTCTTGTGTGTTTGCTTTTGGCGGAAGTTCGGGAAGACTTTTCTAGAAATTTTGTTTTAGCTTTTGAAAATTGTATGTATGCTTGCTTGTCAACCATATAAAAATTTTCTGTTTTACTAAATAACTTGAGATTCAAATCTGAAAAATCCCCAAAATTAATATTAAAGTATCGTTGCATAACGATAATTACAAGTGGGATCATAAATTTAAACTAGAAGATGGAGAACGCAAAGTTGCGTTGAATTCATTACACACAATTAAAAGCAAATTACATCCGAGTTTATAAACGAGGTAAATGAACTCCTTTTAAAGTGTAAGATTATTTCTTTTTTTGTTTTTCAATATAACGATAATTCAAATTAGACTTGGTAAATATTATGGAACGAATACTGACTTATGCAAAAATGGCGGTCCACGCAAACACAGTATATCGATATGAATCTAATTGACTTGGAACGAAAATTTTAATTATATCGATATTATCATAGTAGGATTTAATATTGTGCAAAAAATTTTGCAGTTCTTTATATAACGATAAGTCCAGAGGTACTAATGGGGTATATGATAAAGCGTTGTACCCACGTGATCAATCACCGGTCAATGCTTTGTAAGGTCAGGATAAGGGTTAGGGTAGGAGTGGAGTAAAAGTTATATGTAAAATTGTCTTCCCGACATTTTTAATTAGTCTTTCAAGCTAGGTTTACCCATTCGTTTTCCGTATTTTTCACATTATTTGCCTTTTTAATTTTCTTGTGCCGGATTTGTTTTGCCGGGTTGATCAAAATTTGTGCATTCTTATTGGTGATCAACAAAATTTGCGTATCCTCATTGGATGGATTACCTGAAGGTACAACGCTTTATCGTATCCCCTAAATGGGAAACCACACACTAAAGCTGCAGATCGTTATAGGTTTGGGATGGTTATGGGCAAAGATACGTACGTATATATGAGTACCAAATAACCTTCCCGAACAGTGCAAATTCATTGAAAAATGTTGGGAACTTATTCCAGAAAACAGACAACTGCTAAGGAACTTTCAGATGAACTGAATACTTTGCATTTACTGTATTATGAAACTAGACTTAAGCGACATTAAATAAACCTGATGAGATGAATTTGCAAAAAGTATTTCTAACAAGAAACAACAAATACAGTTTACACTACACCACCACCATCCATCGAGTCTTTACTACAAAATTTATTTTCATTGCGTGTGTGAGAAAAAGGGCTAATTTTTCGTCTATCACCATGGCCCTCTTTTTGACCCCATTTTTTGGGTTAAATTTTTCAGAGCAAGTTTAAGTACTTTAGCCTTCCAATTGCGGGAAGTGTCCTTTTTCCGAACTCCTTAATATATGGTGCGATAGAAAGAGATTTTGTGCGCAACACACGATGCACATATCATCATAAGCCCTATAAAAATGTAATCAAAGTAAGCAACAAAAGACAGGTGAGTATTAGGTAAAAAAAAATACCAGTATGGAGGAACCCGAACGTTTCCAATTTGCGAGTTTTACGTTCATCTTGGTCAATAATCATGCTGATCAAATATGCCCTTCATCATCTTCGGCATTTTCAGGCCCCTTTCCCGTTCTGCCCCTCATACAGTTGACCCGCTTCCGCACACCCAAACTCAGCTGTGATCTTATGAATTATCAGATCACCTCTCCTCCCAAACATCTTTCTTTTCATATCTACTACCGCAGCCACGGTTCTTTCACTATTTTTTCTTGCTGATGACGGGATACACGACTCTCCCCTAATGTAAAAATATTTAGACCATGGAACCTGACCGCTTCCACTCCCTCAATATCATTGAAAATTTATCAGTGAAGCTCCAAACGTGAACGAGGAACCACAGCCCCAAATGTTCCGACGCCAGAGCATGATTCATATTCTTACAATCTGTGAAATGAAAGTGCGAACTTAGAATCCAAAATCTTGAAATGAAATCAGTTACGTACAAATTGTACACTGTATTGTGTATCCAGTCTCGATCAAAATCTCTTGATCCATTGAAGTCCTGATCTATTTGCTCAGGCCTAAACACTTGCTTTCGAAGTTCCGAAGTAATTTGCTGTTGGAATAAACTACCGATTGTCAGTAAAACAAACAAGTTATGGACATATAAAAAAGAAGTGAAGCTTACAAGGTTAGATACTTCAACAATTCGAGACATCAATGGCATTTCTTTGGTTTGAATGACGAATCTCGTGTAATTTGCTTTCAGTAAAAACATTCTCCTTCAGGTAGATATTGTCGTCAGGGTCTAGAACAAACGAATGAGAAAACTTTTTTATATAGGGAATAAAGTGTGAGGGAACTTATATATATTGAAGAATATAAGTTTTATTGTTTAAATTTACTGTTCATGCTTGCAACGCAAGCCGAAATCGTAAAGAGCATTTTCCACGGTTCCAGTTGTAAGTACCCACTTCTTTGCATCATCCATTTCATCGTAGGCTTTTTTAATATTTTTCGTAATCCAATGCAGACATCTCTCTAAAATTGTCATAATAATCGTCATCATCGCACTCTGGTTTTTGATCTTGCCTATGAAATAGCAAATGGCATCAATTACTGTTGCTTCAAGGTGTCAAATACTTACCAAAAACGTTCGCATTTAATTTTTATTCGCTTCACCGTCCTTAGAACGTCTTTTTGTAGGTTTCGTTCCAAGAGCTTCTGGCATGTCCAAAACACCATGCGTGCGTGCTTCATCTAGCACATCAATACTAGTCTTGACATAATTACTTTGCACTGTTCGCTATACTCAACAAAGTTGTAAATATAGAACTTCCATTGATGGTAGAATGCTTTAGGAAGGACCAACCCTAACCTTTTTACGTTCAAATATGAGATCTTCAAAAAATAATTTTATAGACGGATGCGGATGTTTCTATATAGAATAAATGTCAAAAGTATCAATAAATTCACAATACAAGGTTGATAGTGGGGCACCGAAAAATTTCAGCAAAACCTCTGAATCGTTCTATATGACATAACAACCAGAAGCGCCCAACAAACCTCCAAACCGTTCTATACGACACATAATAACAGCAAGAGTGTTCTAACAAACCTCTGAACCCGTTATATACGATATATAATAACAGCCAGAAGCGCACTTGCAAAAAAAGAAACTTCAGATGATAGCTGATACCGATATACGTGTGAAAATTTTTTAATCGATTAGACATGTACATGTAATGAGATCGTCATTAATGTAGTACATAAATTCTTAGCGACCTCCAAAAGTTCGGGTCATGTGATAATTTTTTGATACATGTAATGTCAATCGATTAATTAATACATGTACATGTAGTTGGTAGCGGTAGTGTTATCGTTATACATGTACTGTATTATATTACATTATAACTAATTCATTAGTTAATATGTTGAATAGTTCGTATCGATTGGTAACACTAATATCAGCGATGATGACCAATTAAATCATAAGATCAAATGCATCTTTGGTGATCATTCTGGTAAATTCGCTTATCTACAGTGGCAATCAGAAATAATGTAACGACGTCAAAATTTATTAAATAAATATAGTAAAATGCAAATTTTTCTCTTTATATAAAAGTTTCAATTTTACTAATAAATATGTTTTATTTTTACATTAAAATGAAGATATATCACATATTTAAACATATATTTAATCTGATAAAGCTGTTCTAATTGCATATAAAGTCAATAAATTTTTTGCTTTTAATTTATAATAATTTAATATTACTTTTAAATTACTTAATTGAAAACTATTTTTTTTATTGTTTTTCAATTAAATTTTTGACTTGGCTTGAATTAAAATTTTTTTGTCATTATTATTATTTATATAAGCCAATTTTTATTTTTTAATAAACCAGATATTGAGATTTTTTTGAGATAAAAAAGTGATTTATCATCTATTTGATAATATATTAAGTTATTTTTCAAGCAAATTTAAAGATTTTGTTATAATCATATCATATTATTTTTAATTACACAATAAATTTCTAAACAAAAAAATTATTTTTATAAATCTTAGCAATTCATATATAGAAAAGAACTTTAAATAAGATATTTAATTATTATATAATTAAATTGGATCAGTATTTGTTATATAAAATTATTTATTTAATTTAAATTCTCTATTTTTATTATTATACCAGTATTTAGAAATTAAAATTATATAAAAAAGATCTTTTAGAAAAAAAACTAAATAAATTTATTATATGTTATACTTTTTTCAATGAATTTATTATTAATTAAATAATTACTTTTAATTTATTATAATAATATATAGTAATTATATATTTTTATATTTTTACCAAGAAAGTTGAAAATATAGCCAATTTTAGAAAAATATTTATTGAAAATATCATTTAATTATATATCTATATTTATTTAGTATAATTAATATATTGTAATTTATTATATAATTACTAATTCAAAATAATTATAAATTTATAAAGATTGAATAATCATAAAGAGTATTTTTTACTATTAGTTTTAATTTTTAATTTGTATTATTAACAAAATACCAACTATAAAAAAATTTGTTATATATATATATTTTAATTTATTTTCCTTTGCTAAAATAAAGCTTTAAATTAAGATAATTGCTATTTTTGAATATATTATTTTACTAAAAATTGAAATTAATAGAAAAATATTTTAGTCTATGTAAAAATTTCTTAGAAATTATTAAAGATATTATCAAAAATATTTTAAAATAAATGAGAAATTTTGTGAAATATAATAAAAATAATGAAATAGAAAAAAATTAGTATTATATTAAGATTATTTTTAATAATATAAAAGTGAATATTTTAAAATAATTTTAGATAAGATTTAAATTTTAAAATATACAAATTGATTATAAAAATTAATAAATAATTGTGATAAAAATTTAATAGTATTATACTAATAATTATTATTTTTTCAAAAAAGTTATATTAAGATATTCAAAATATTTTGATTTGCTATTTTTTTGATTTTTTAGAATTATAGTTTTTTTAAATTATAAATATTCTAATATAAAAATGAATTCTAAAACTAATAATATAGTTTAAATATATAATTAAAATTAGTTTAGAAATATAATTGAAACTAATTTAGAAATATAAATAAAATTAGTTTAGATTATAATTATATTTCTCTTAAATAGCTTCAAAATTTATTTTTATTTGATAATAATATAAAAGTATATTACTAATATATTTTTTTTGAAAATAAATATTATTTATTTTATTTTAATAATAATAAAATTCTTTTATAAGAAATAATTATTTAAATAATAATTAATATTATTCTATATTAAATAAATTATTCAATAAAAAAATATGGTTTGGTGCAAAAATATTAATACACGAAAAATAAAAATTAATATTTACTTTTAATAAAAGTTATATAATATATAATTAATATTTATAAATTTTTTATATTAAATAAAGTATATCTTAATATAACTTTTTATA